ACATGCTCGCTTGATCAGCCGCCATGCCCCCGAGCCCCGCACAGTGCGCCACAATGCACAATTCAAGCCACGAACCACAGCCACAGCCACAATTACCACAGTTAGTGATCACATCATCGATTATACTCGAGCATCGGTTGAATAGTGTGCTCGAACAAGGCGTTGCGGTTATCCAAATCATAGATAATGATTCATCGCAAAAAGAAAAATTTGAAAAAAAAAATTTGAAAAAGTGATGAGAATCAGAGATTATCCATCGCTACTATACAAGTCATAACTTTAAACATACATTATTATACACACAGTAGTAAACAGCTTGCAAAACAGACAGTAACAGCAGGCCTACGCAGCATTCAACACCCCGCGTAAACGATTGTAACCGAGCTGATGCGATTACGAATTACAACCCGATGACTAACCACTACCAGCATTCATGCAAACATTTCGCTGGATACCCATCGCGCTAGCACGCCGGTACGACTGATTACACTGTTACGCAGATACTGCAGACTCGGAGCAGGACGCGCAGAGACATGATCAGTCGGAATACACTCGACGGGTGGACGAACAAGATGTTCGTCGCAGCGGGCGAGTGGTGAGAGCAAGACGATCGGGTGCCTTCGAGCGTGAGACGACACGAGCGTGGCACACACGCACCAGGCGGAAGCTGAGGAGAACGTCGACCATGAAGTGAGTTACACTAGTTCGTCTCCGCCATTTCAGAGCTGCCAATCCTACGATTGTTCGTCATCCTTACGAATTTCCTATGATCGTTTCTACGAAGTTACGACTCAAAACTGAAAAAACTTTACGATTTTCTACGACTTGGGAAATACATTGTTTTTTCACATTCCGTGGACCCGAAAATATCTGCGATTGGTGGCGCAGCCATATTGCGGCTTCACGCGTTCACGTTGTCTCGCGTGATCTAGAGTTAGTCCCATCATTTCATTGCGCGGCCATAACATACAAACAAATGGCGGCTGCTGCAAGAAGATAAGCCTTACTATTTTCACTGGATCACAGGTTGGCCAGGTCTGCTCAATTTGTATACGATACACCAATAGAGATGATAGATTCGTCCAAAACGTGATTAATAAAGAATTATAAATAAGTAATTAGAAAAAACAAAAAAACAAACAATATAAAAAAAAACAAAAGAAAACAAAAAAAAAAGAAAAATAAAAGAAATAGAAAGAACATAAGACAAGTTTAAATCTGGGTATAAACAATAATCTCTTGTAATAAAATGTTGAAAGACAATGATATATACACTAAAAAAACCTAAGGAATAGACTACATCGTTTAAAAGAAAATATAACAGAGGCATAAAATAAAATAAACTGTCAGAGGTACGAGACAACAACTATCCCCAACTTGATCGGTTTAGTATTGTCTTTAATAATCTCATGTAAACGTTGACCCGACATTGTAAACTCTAGCTATGATTTAAGTTGGTAGTGTGTGATTTTGATTCGCCGACGCGTAGAGGTTTCTTAATTCGATCCAGAAAAATATAATGTTACCGTTGCTAGTCATAAGTCTGTCGATTAGAATGTTCCCTCGGCCAATAATTGGACATCTGGATATCGGTTGTACACCTGTTTTGCGGCGTTCATACTGTTATCGTGATATTTCCGACTTGTCGGTCTGACTATGGCGATGCGTCGCGGCATCCTGCGTGTTTAGGTAGGTCTTGGGATGGCTAGGTGAGGCGGTGCTGATGTGAATCATCTGTTGCGTTGGTGTGTTATCAGTGGGAAAGGGAACACAACCAAATGCGAGGACTTACTGGAAGTAAAACTGCTGATGATAATGAAAGAAGAAAAATAGAGTACAAAAAGTAAGTAGTACATTAAGAGACATGCAGAGAATAATAGATACAAGATAGAGCCTTCACGTGCACTATCACCGAAACGATACTAAAAGAAGGCCCAAGAAGCGTGATAGATAACGAGCATATGAAGAAGAAAAGATAAGAAATGATAAGTCACACAACGGACATAGAAGCAAGACAGAAGAGAACCAAGCGTAGTTTATTTCTTAAACACTACAATATAAAAAGAACAGACAAACAGATATAGTCAGAGACAACAATACAAATATAAGAAGAACTGACTAATAGCAAGCCTCTTAAATAAACTTAACAATCCATAAGTATAAAAAAGCCACATACTAATATAACAGGCTAATGAACTAAATAGCACCTGGATAGACAGTTAAAATACTTGAAAGGCAATACGATTTAAAGACACTAAATAGCAGCGAAACTTGCTATAGCCAATACGTAGTAAATTACATAATAGAAAAAATCGATAAGCTCATATAGCAGCTATAATTGCTTATAGCCATAGTAGTCATCTAATAACAAGATGTTAAAGAACTCACTATGAGCAAAGCTTG